TCTTTACCATTATAGTTAGCTACTTCTATTGTTCCATTTATTAACATTAAATAACATTACTTAAAACAACCATATTAATTTTACTACTGCTACAGCCAAGGTCTTATTTTCTTCAGTTTTATATGTAGAACCAGTCAGACACTGGTTTTGTAATCAACGAAAACAATGCTGTGTCATTTCCTCGTGCGTTTTAATATTCTACCTATTATTAATGAATTGTATTGCTCATTTTGCACACATAAACATTAATTCAATAAAAAAGACAATCAGTAATAAACAATAATGAATCTTATGTACATAAGAGAAATGACGCTGTTTACACGATTGTGCACTTCGTCGAAATTCGAGTTTACGCCGACAAAATTATTAAATTTGTTGTTTTTTTGTGTTCAAATAGAAAACGTCGAATTAAAAACTCACGAAATTTGAGAAGCTACTGTACGACATTTAGCCCTTCAATATGTCTTCAAAGAGACCATGATGCAGAGAAAGTGGTGCTTGTGCTTCCAAGCCAAGTCTATCTATCCAGGAAAAGGGTGAATTTCCATGGTCCAGAAATTTCCATGGTCCGGCACTGGTCAGGTCCCGAGGTTGCCGGACTAGAGGGGTACAACCTGTACTATAACGGGTTATTATAGTGTGACCCACATCCACACAGACACAGTTTGGCTGTGTGAGTAAAGAAAGATGTACTATAACAGGTTATTATAGTGTGACCCCACACTGTGGGCAAGACACCAGCCCATGGTGCTGCCCGTTAAAGTACCTGTAAAAGAGAGAGATTGTGAAGCAACATTGTGGTGAAGAGAAGAGAGATTATCAACTAAAGGAGGAGAATTAATAAGTCTTTGATTCCACCCTATCTAACAGTTGAAGAGCCACCCCAGATATGAGAGCAGTTCTCCAAGTTAGGACCAATTTATCCCTTATATACTTGAACCAACAGCTCAGGGGTGAAGTAACAGTCCAGGCAACACTAGTGACTGACCTGATCTAATAATATTAAAAAATTAATACCTCTTTGACTTATATTTATTATTAAACCATCTAACAATGATATAATTACTATATAATACTATTAATTAATTTAAACTGTGTAAACTTTGTCACTGTTGTTTGTTAATAATGACTTAATAATTTTATATAAGATCTCCCTCAAGGCAAGATATATCCAGTCACTAAATTAACGGAGAAAAGGGCTGAAATACAACTCGACCCAACGCCACTAGGACCAACTCAGCCCATCAAATACCAACTCGGAGCATCTCGGATAACCAACCTTAACTAAAACATTATAACGTATGTTTATATCAACGACATAAATAAATCATTTATTACCTTAACCACGAGGGAGGGTGGAAGGCCCACAAATTAACATGTACTAACAAAATTAAAAAAAATAAACAAGACGGCCACGTTGGTTGATGATGGCCTGCTACACACTTGTCCGATTCTCTCTCTCTTATCTTTCAGTAATTACAAGTTTTCATTATTAATACTATAATAAGAGTATTTTATTAATAAATATTACACAATATAAAAAAATTATACTTTAATTATAATGTTTTATTATTGATTAAATTCCCGCTAATAGATATACAGTATATTAATATTAAACTAAACTTAAGTCATTGGCTGGAGAACCAAATAGCTTGACAGCATTTACAATTTTACTAAAATAAATTTAAACAATAATAACTTGTGTTAACTATTTTAAGTTTATTTATTAATATTTTATTAATATATAACACTACAGTATATAGATTCAGTTAACAAACGACTCCGTGGAACCAATTGTGTTGGTTAATTGAGGGACCACTGAAGATATTTTAGCGACCCTCCCTGGTGACAACCTTAACCTAACGTGGGTCAACACTCCACTATCCACTTATATGAATCTTTATTAATGTGGAACAAGTCCATTATAAGAACAATTCATTGGACAATACTCACGGCAGTAGGCATAACCTGTAATATTTGATCACTAACTTGAACTATCATCATTATTGTTGTGGAATGTTCCTAAAAGTACAATAATTATTTACCTATTATACAGTACAGCATTAATTTATGCCAAGATTGATGCCAAAAAACTATATTTAAGCATAACTTAACCCAAAAAAAATACCCCCATTTGTACGTAAAGTTTCCTGGCTTTTCCATGCATTCGACACCCCAATAGTCTATATTTAAAAAACGCATATGTAGGCCTACAAAAAAATAACTAATTTGTGAACCCAGGTGTAAAACCAGGTAAAGTAGTACCCTGTACCTTTGTAGGATATTTAAACTATTTGTTTACCCCAAGTGCTGAAGACAAAGGTACAGGTTGTACCTCTCTAGTCCGGCAACATCGGGACCTGACCAGTGCCGGACCATGGACATTTCCGGACCATGGAAATTCACCCTTTTCCTGGATAGATAGTGACTTGGCTTGGAAGCACAAGCACCACTTTCTCTGCTTCATGGTCTCTTTGAAGACATATTGAAGGGCTAAATGTCGTACAGTAGCTTCTCAAATTTCGCGAGTTTTTAATTCGACGTTTTCTATTTGAACACACAAAAAAACAACATTTAAAAATTTTGACGAATAAACTCGAATTTCAACGAAGTGCTCAATCATGTAAACAGCGTCATTTCTCTTATGTTCATAAGATTCATTATTGTTTATTACTGAATGTCTTTTTTATTGAATTAATGTTTATGTGTGCAAAATGAGCAATACAATTCATTAATAATAGGTGGAATATTAAAACACACGAGGAAATGACACAGCATTGTTTTCGTTGATTACAAAACCAGTGACTGACTGGTTCTACATATAAAACTGAAGAAAATAAGACCTTGGCTGTAGCAGTAGTAAAATTAATATGGTTGTTTAAGTAATGTTATTTAATGTTAATAAATGGAACACTAGAAGTAGGTAACTATAATGGTAAAGAAAAAAGAGAGATCGCGTATGTAAGTGCACACATGAAAACATATCGTCATTACTTTACATAAGAATATGAAAGCAACACTTATTTACTGTTCATATATATTTTAATTAATGTTTCTGAATTTGTTTTTATTGAATTAATGTTTGTGTGTGCAAAATTAACAATACAATTTATTAATAATAAGTGGAATATTAAAACACACGAGGAGACGAGACGGCTGCCGGCATTGGAATATATAAGAAATTAAAGGGAGGGGTGGAGCAGCTCAGAAATAGGTGTAATGAACTATCTAGGAATGTAAGGAAAGCAAAGAGAGACTATGAAATCAAAATAGCAAGAGAATCCAAGGCAAATCCCAAGGGATTTTTCCAGGTATATAGGA